AAAAATTGTTAATTATTTCTGTTTTCTATATTTATATTGATATTTTGTAAAGGGTCCACTGTAATTGGTGTTAAGCTGTTGTGGTGTCCCAGCTTCTTTAATGCAATTATTGTATGATGTTTGGAAGCGAAGCACAATAAATAAATAATTGTCTCAGTCAACCCTTTAATTGAAATAGTTGTATAAGATATGTTAGGAATAATAAGCACTACGACGTTGCATTCCATTGCAGAAAGCATAAATCGAAAACACAGAAACATTAAAAGAGGCGAAAAAAAACTCAATTTGTGGTTAATTTAAAATATTTGGTAAAGTTTAAAATGACGTATTTTATCCCAAATCCGTTCCGTTCCGCGTTTTACCCCCAAATCCGTTCCGTTCCGCGTTTTAACCCCATATCCGTTCCGTTCCGCATTTTAACCCCATCCGATCCGTTCCGCATCCGCTTCCGCATTTTAACCTAACCCGTTTTTGAACTACCCGTCCGCTGGTGAACGGAAAAAACGGATTGGTTAATATTTTTAGGTAGTTGTAAATCAACGGTTAAATGTTAATCATTAATCAAATGTTTTGACGTTTTGAAATTATTTTATACAACCCACAAAAAATAACACTCTAAATAGTGTTTTTGATAGCGATTCAAACAAGACTATTACGAAGAAGATACGTCCGAAGGAGCCGAAGTAATGATCGGCTAAAGGTATATCTAGGCTATATTTTGATTCACACAATTGCGTATTAAATCTCGCTTGACTTTCATAGGCAATAAATCGCTATAATGTTGACATTTCACTAAAGTCTAAAACCATCGATAGAAATTAGGAGATATTTCTTCACTGAATCGAACGGTGGGATTTTCATCTACATAGGCGTAGCATGTACTGAACCAAAGATACGAACCTCCAAAGTAGCCAGGGGCCACTATCAAGCCTGTTTAGTTATATCTCTCGTGAATCATATTCTGCACTGAATATGTAGTTGTAAACAATATCGTTCTATTAAGGTTCAAAACTTTTAGTTTGGTTGTTGAATGGATCTATAATACTTAGTATAGATTTGCTTTCTATTTTGAGCTTAACCACCGTTTAGGCTAAACGGACTTGATACAACCGGCCCCAGGGCGACCTCGACATGGTTTAATTAAGGCCACATAAAATAAATTCCTTGATTCTCATGTGTAGACTTTGAAAAGTGTAGACTTTGAAAATGTCGAAGAGGCAGAAGATTTATTTTTTTATATTTTATATTTATATAATTTACTATCAATAAATAAAAAAAAATGTCACAAACCGAAATAGTCCAATAAACCGATTACACACAACGTATGTATCTCCACGAACACAGAATCTTGAAAGAAATTCCATTGCATTTTAATTAAAGGACTCAGTCATTGTTCGTTGAACAATGAGTCATTTAAAATGCAACGCCAATGAAATTTCTTTCAAGATTCTGTTTGTTTGAAGTTGGAACTTTAAAATAGCACTAATAACCCAATACAAAATATAAAAAACTTAACTGTCATACATTATTTTGTCCGGCTGTACATTTATATTGTGTCATCATCAATCATCATCAATCAATTTTATTTAAAATCAAGAACACGCTAGCCTCGCACAACTAAAAGCTGATTTACAAGAGGGGCGTGATATATAAAACAGTAGAATATATGGAATATTATATGAACCCCCCAACCTCCCCCCAACAACAAATTGAGAAAAATAAAGTCAAGTAAAGTAAATAAAGAGAGTTAACTATAATTAAGTCAACATGGTTCTAAAAGGACAGCTCCGTAATACTACGCTTAAATTGACTGAGCGAAGTCGCTCTTTTTGCATCTAATGGAAGATTATTCCACAGCATTGATGCGCTATATTTAAAGCTTCTCTTCAAAAAATTAGTTTTTGGTTTTGGAAGTGCTAGATCCGTTTCCTGATTTCGTAAATTATGGCGTCTATTAAGTTCACTAAGTCTTACAAAGCTTTCTCTTAAACATGGCGAACAATTTTCATTAAGGATTTTATACATTAGGATACTCTTCAACTTAGCCCGCCTAACATGTAGATTATCCCATCCTAAACCTTCCAAAAGATCACTTGATCTAATCCTATCATCATATCTTGCTCCAGTGATAACCCTAGCCGCACGATTTTGTAATATTTGCAATTTATCTTTTAATATTTTATCGCATGTATCCCACAGGGGAGAGCAATAATCAAGATACGGTTGAATTAATGATTTGTATAATGTAACAAGAGAGGTCTGCGGAACGAATGGTTTAATTCTCCTCAATGCTCCTATGCCTGAACAGATCTTCTTGCATATTTCTTCAATATTGATGTCAAAAGTCAATCTCTCATCAAGATCAACTCCCAAACATTTATTCGAGACAACAGGTGAAATTACGTTATTGTTCATGATAATGCTGTTGTACAATTCACCAACTTTGTTGGTCAAATTTTGTTTAGATCCTATGACAATAAGCTTAGCCTTAGAAGGGTGGGATTGGAGTTTATTTACATTTAACCAATCTGTGACATTTTCTAAATCAGAGTTTATATCATTAGCCAGCGCAACAGAGTCGTACGAAGAGGCGAAAATTTGGGTATCATCTGCGTATAGACAGGGTGTTGTTGTCTTTAGACAGTTGGGTAAATCGTTGATATAAATTAGGAACAACAACGGGCCAAGTATGGAACCTTGTGGAACCCCGCAAATTATTTCACCTTTATTAGAGAGGCAGCCATTTACTTGACACTGTTGTTGCCGATTTGAGAGGTAGGATTTAAACCATGCAAGTTCAAGTTGAGAAACGCCATAGAAAGCTAGTTTTTCAAGTAGTATAACATGATCTATTGAATCGAAAGCTTTTCTGATATCAAGGAAAACTACCCCTGTTAACTTGCCATTATCCATATTTTCGTACCAGTTATCACACATTTGAATTAGAGCTGTAATTGTAGAGTGCCCTGGTCGAAATCCGGATTGGAATTTGGATATAAGGCAATTTTCGTTTAAATGTTTGTAAAGTTGTGTAAAGATTTCTTTTTCGAAAACCTTACTTATTATCGGTAGAATTGATATTGGTCTATAATTTCCCAAAGTTCGTTTGTTGCCTTCCTTATAAATCGGTATAACTTTCGCATATTTCCAATTTTCTACAAACACTCCAGTTGAAAGTGATAGATTAAAAATATAAGTTAAAGAGGGTGCAATTATATCTGCAGCAATGCGTAGCATTTTAGCCGGAATTTTATCAAGACCGGCGCCTTTCGAAACATTTAGATGTCTTAGAGTTTTCAAAACATTGTCCACTGGAATAAACATAAAACGAAAGGATGGAATAATTAACTTGTTGTTTTCCAAATAAGTTTCAACCTTATTTGTTGACTGATTTGAAACTTCAGAGGCTAGTTTAGGCCCAATATTAATAAAGAATTCATTAAAAGCTTCAGATATATTTTCATCGTTTCGAATTATTTCATCGTCAATTTCAATTTCATTAACATGTTTTGTTTTGCTGACACGACCAATAAGAGAATTAATTAGTTTCCAAGTAGTTTTTGGATCGTTCTTATTACATTCGCCAATTTTTTGGCAGTAATAGCGAGATTTACTTTTCCGAATTTCAATATTGACTCTGTTCCTGGAGGCCTGATAAAGTCTCCAGTGGTACTCAGAGCCATTTTTAAATGATTGTTTTTTATGATAATCACGATTACGCATCATTTTTTTAATGTTCGAATTTAGCCATGGAATTGCGGTATGCCGTATACGCTGAAGTCTCAGAGGCGCATGCCTATCTAAAACCTCATTAAAATTATTTTCCCACGCCTTCCAGGCCAAATTAGGATCACTAATGGTTTCTATTGTTTGCCAAGGTATATTAAGCAGATCACAAATGAAATTTTCCTTCACAAAGTGTTTTA